GGATTACAGGCTTGAGCCACCGCGCCCGGCCCGCAGTTGGTTTTTTTTAAGGTTCTCTAAAAGTCCCCCCACTTTAATCTTCCCTGTCGCCCCAGGTCCTGTAGAACTCCTACATTCTGGATTTGGTTAATTAACTCCTTGCTCTCCATTTTCCCTACTAACTCGCAGTCAGTAGGTAGATCTAGATTTGGATTATTTATCTTTTGGTCAGGAATACTTCATAGGTGGTGTTCTGGTTTCTTGTTGCTTCATAATCAAATATTATATGGTGTGTGAAAGACCCTCTTTTAGTGAGACGGTTGGGGAGGGTGGAATGGTCAGCATACACCATGTGTTTTCTTTCCACGCCAACGTTTCACTCAAATGGTTTTGGCATCCCCTGCCCCGCCACTGGCGTGAGGTGGTGTGATCTAGCCTCACTGCAACCTCTGCCTCCCGGGTTCAAGCGATTCTCCTGCCTCAGCGACCCAAGTAGCTGGATTACAGGTGTGTGCCACCATGCCCAGCTAATTTTTGTATTTTCTTTTTTTTAAATCACGGGTAGTGATCGTTTTTTTTTTCCCTGGATGTATGCTAAGCACATTTTTTTTTTGAAGACGGAGTCTTACTCTGCGATCTCGGCTCACTGCAACCTCTACCTCCCAGGTTCAAGCGATTCCCCTGCCTCAGCCTCCTGAGTAGCTATTACAGGCGCCCGCACCACGACACCCAGCTAATTTTTGTATTTTTAGTAGAGATGGGGTTTCACCATGTTGGTCAGGCTCGTCTCGAACTCCTGACCTCAGGTGATCCGCCTGCTTCGGCCTCCCAAGTGCTGGGATTACAGGCGTGAGTCACCGCACCCAGCGCCTTCAAAAATTTCTTATTTGACATGTCTTCAAGCTTCCCTACCACCCTAGTGACGCCATCGCTCCGTTTCCCGCCCCCGCCACCCTTGGGGAGTAAGGATGAATACTGGCGAATGCCAGAGGAAGCGTAGTTTTTCCGAAGAGCTGAAGGCAGCCTGTGATTACGACCTTCTCTATTTTCTGATCTCCTAATACACGTCCGTAAGTATCACAAGACTGCAAGTCCCTCAAATATTACTTCTTAAAATCTGAAGAACTTCAGTCTTCCGGGCCCCACGACTCTCTCCCGGCACTAGGATCTACTCTATGGTAGAGAGCTCAGCCTTTCTAGCTCTCTAGTCCTCCGACTGCCCCATCTATGGTTTCGGAGACCTCACCGGAAGCCCTCGTGTAGGGCCTTGTGGGAGGCCGGAAGTTGCGGCCTCAATACTCGCCATTTCAAAATGCTGCCGAGGTAGGACCTGTGGCTGCCACCACTTCCTCTACCCGGGCTCGACCGGGGAGACATTCATGGAGCTGCCGTAAGGTGTGGCTCTTGGCCTTCGTCGGCGGGGTGTCGCGCGCGGTAGCTGGAGAGTGAGGAGTGGGCGGCTGTACCGCCAATTGCGCGGGCCTGGGAGTGGGGGTAGCGGGTGGGAGGAGCTTGAGGCGTGGGTCCGGCGGCTTGGGGAAGGCCGCCGCGCCGGGCGGAAGGAGGACTCGCGGGGAGGGGAAGGGTTGTGGGATAAGGGTTCGCGGAAGATAAAAGTGGGGGTGAGTGACGTGATGTAACTGGCCATCTGGTGACACACCTAAAGTCGACGTAGTTGGATTAAGTTTAAGTGGACACAACATTTGAGGGCCATTGAGGCAACTCAGAGAATAGAACTGGGAGAGAGGGAGGTGGGGAGCGTGACATTGACGTGTGTTAAGTTTTTAAGTTAAGGGCTGCGGAAAGTCTGCCTTAGACTAGGCACTTGAGTGCTTGTTTGAAAATGCTCGTGTTGGAGCCACACCAAAACTTCCAGATAGTATCGAGATAGGGCTCAGAGAAACGTGTGTATGTGTTTTGAGACGGAGTCTCACTCTGTCACCCTGGCCAGAGTGCAGTGGCGCGATATCCGCTCACTGCAACCTCCACCTCCCTGGCTCAAGCGATTCTCCTGCCTCAGCCTCGGGAGTAGCTGGGAATACTGGCGCACGCCACCGCACCCAGGTATTTTTATTTTTTTATTTTTTTATTTTTTGGTATTTTTACCAGAGACGGAGTTTCACCTTGTTGATCAGGCTGGTCTCGAACTCCTGACCTCGTGATCTGCCCGCCTCGGCCTCACAAAGTTCTGGGATTACAGGCGTGATCGACCGCAGCCAGCCCTAATTTTTGTGTTTTCAGTAGTGAGGGGGTTTCACTATGTTGGCCAGGCGGCTCTGGAACTCATGGCCTCAAGTGATCTGCCCGCCTCGGCCTCCCAAAGTGCTAGGATTACAGGCGTGAGCCACTGCTCCCGGCCTGGCATCTCTTGATGACTGTTGAATAGGCGACATTTAACCTGAGACTAAGGTTTAGGATGAATCAGTTTTCTGCAAAACTCACAGTGCTCCAAATGAAGGAACAATGTGTGCAAAGGCCCTGTTTTAAAACTGAAAGATCAGTGTGGCTGAGGCTTAAGACTGAATAGAGCAAGGTAAGACTGAAAAGGTGCTGAGGCGCTAGACCATGTGTTTCATCTTACAGCAGTAGCAAGCTGTTGACCAGGCCCTGACACTATAGGATTTTTTTGTTTGTTTTTCCTTTTTATTGAGACAGAGTCTCAAAAAAAGTGGGCACGTGCCACCATGCCTGGATAATTTTTGTATTTTTAGTAGAGGTGAGGTTTTACCATTGTGGTCAGACTGGTCTTGAACTCCTGACCTTGTGATCTACCCACATTGGCCTCCCAAAGTGCTAGGATTACAGGTGTGAGCCACTGTGCTTGGTCAGAATTTTTTTTCTTTAAAAAATGCTTTTGGCAGGCTGGATGAGGTGGTGCATGCCTGTAATACCAGCACTTTGGGAGGTTGAGGCGGGTAGATCACCTGAGGTCGAGAGTTCGAGACCAGCCTGACCAATATGGAGAATCCCCATCTCTGTTAAAAATACAAAATTAGCCAGCCTTTGGTGGTGCCTTTCTGTAATCCCAGCTACTTGGGAGGGAGGCTGAGGCAGGAGAATCACTTGAACCTGGTACGTGGAGGTTGTGGTGAGCCAAGATCATGCCATTGCATTCCAACCTGGGCAAGAAGAGCAAAACTTCGTCTCAAAAAAAAAAAAAAAAAAAAAAAAGTATTTTTTTGTAGTGTACAGTTTGAGTGGGGTTTAGAAAGACTAGGATAGAATTTATTGCAGTGACCCAAGCAAGAAATAACACTTTTTGGTTTGGGAAGTGGTCATGCAGATGGAGAGAAGGGAAGGTTTTGAGTTATTTGGGAAGTATAAATCTACAAGATTGGATTATGGATGTGATAATAGAGGCAAAGGGAGAGATTGAGGATTAAACTTTCTGGTGTGAGCAACTGAATGTTACTACTAAACAGCAGCATATTATAGTGGAAAAGGGTAAGTTTTTCCACTTATATGGAAAAACTTGCCAAGTTATTTGACTTCTTTAAGCCAAATAGTTTTCTCTTTTAAAAGCAGGTAACTTGGGAGGCCAAGGCAGGCAGATCACGAAGTCAGGAGTTCAAGCCCAGCCGGGGCAATATGGTGAAATCCCATCTGTACTAAAAATGAAAAAAAAATTAGCTGGGCCTGCGACTGTATTCCCAGCTATGTGGGAGGCTGAGGCAGAAGAATTGCTTGAACCTGGGAGGTGGAAGTTGCAGCGAGCGAAGATCCTGCCGCTGTACTCCAGCCTGGGCTACAGAGAGACTCTGTCTCCAAAAAAAAAGAAAAAAAAGCTGAGGGGTACGGTGGCTCATGCCTGTAATCCCAGCACTTTGGGAGGCCCAGATGTGTGGATCACCTGAGGTCGGGAGTTCAAGACCAGCCTGACCAACATGGAAATGCCCCATCTCTTTCAAAAAAAAAAAAAGAGGGTGGCGGGTGACAGTATGTAACTGGTGTATTCAAAAGGAATTTCAACTGACTTCATTTTTCGCATAAAATCTTGACAGTGCCATTGCTTATAATGTTTTCTCTCCCGTTCTTTTCGGTATATATGTATTTTTTTAAAGCTATTAAAAGTAGATCTTCACCAACTTGTGCAGTACGCTCCCATTTTAAAGTCCTTCCCCTCCTATTTTCCTTCTCTCTGATTCCTCCTCTGCCTGGCAGTCAAAAGTAGTTTTTTCTGCTCTGAATTTCCATGGCCCTTAAATCAGTATCTTTTTAATGATACAGAACTTTGTGTTGGGTGTTAAAGTAACGTAAGAAACCTTTATTTTTGTTTAAATTCTTCAAAGTTGCCAAGTGGTCAATTCCTGTGCCTACGAAGGTACTTAACCACCATGGCTGGGGCTCTCTTCCTGAAAATCATTCTTGAAGGAACTATAAAGGGAAAATACTGGAGAAACACACATGGTCAGTTTCAAACTGGATGGAAGTTGGGGAAGTTGGGGGTAGGAGGTGGAAGGCAGCAGCTGACCTGAAACAGCAGTTAGCCAGGCATGGCTGTGGGAGAATAAAACCATTGGGCAAGGCAACTATTGAAATATTGCTCTAGTTTCTCCCCTGCTTCATTATCTTGGAATTACCCTTTTCCACACCTGCCGTAACTCAGAGCCCTAGTCCACTTCTCTCAAGAGTTAATCAGGGTATAAGAGAAGCCCATACTTGTGAAGAGTAGGGGGAAAACAGGTGGTGACTGACTTCAGGCAATCGCTTCTCTGTGGCTTACCCTCTTAATCCTTAGGTCTTGCCAGATTCCAATCATAATGCTGCTTCTGCCTGGGAAATGAAAGTTGAAGCCCTGATCTGAGTAGTGATTATGTGAGATGGAGAGTGATTATGGCTTTCTACTTTACTGATAAGGACTAGAGTCTGGATTTCACCTATATTTGCTTGTCACAATAACTGATATCTGTCTTCTGGGTAAAAATAACAGATAAGCAAAGATATTTTAAGAGAAAACATGCAAACTTCATTGGAACAAATATTAGAACAAATGGACTAAGAGTTTAAAGGTAGACTGATAATCATCCTAGAAGAAATAAGGGAATATGTTGGCAATTTGAAATAAAAATATAAGTGGAGACCAAGAGAACCAAACAAATACTAGACATGAAAAATACAGTGGTTGAAATAAAGAACACTGGCTGGGCATGGTGGCTCGTGCCTGTAATCCCAGCACTTTGGGGGGCTGAGAAGGATTGCTTTTGCTCAGAGTTTGAGACCAGCCTGGGCAACGTAAAAAAAACTAGCTGGGTTTGGTGGTAAATGCCTGTAGTCCCAGCTACTCCAGAGGCCAAGGTGGGAGGCCTGCTTGAGTTGGGGAGGTCGAGGTTCCAGTGAGCCTTGATCACGGCACTGCAGTCCAGCCTGGGTGACAGAGTGAGACCCTGTCTCAAAACAGCTGTATACATTCTGTTTTTTATTCCATGTGTAATGTTATGGAATCACAGATAGAATAAACAACAGAATGGATACAACTGAGGAATGAATTAGAATTTTAGAAGGAGAAAATCTAGAACAAATTAAAAATATAAATGAAAAGATAAGAGTAGGCATAGAGGTACTGACATCTGATAAAAGTCTTTGAGAAAAATAAGAAGGAAGTATTGAAGGAATAATGGAGTATTTCTCTCCTTTACAATAAAAAAAAAAAAAAAAAAAAAAAA